TAAGGTATTTTGCCTTTGTATGACCCATTATTGTTTTGCAGATAATGCAAAGGCAGAATACAGTAACTTCCGAATAAGGGTCAAAGTTCAAGTTTGAGCTAATTTTTTTTTAAATGTAGATAAATATATTCATTATGACAACTACTTGGCAAATTGTCATTGTCCTACCTATCATACAATTGGCTGGACAACAAAAAAACTTTAAAGTCATTTTTCTCAGTTTCACACTCTGGTGAGTTAAGGTCTTTTGCCTTTGTAGGGCAGATTTGTTTCTAATCTGTTCGGAATTACATGTGTCTGTTACAGCAGAGACTTTATATAATTGTCTCTATTTTTTTATTTTTATTTTTATTTGATTTGATTTTTTTTTTGATTTTTTATATATGTATGTATATGTGTGTATATATATATATATATATATATATATATATATTTTTTTTTTGTATGAGTATTCCGAGATAATAATGTTTAACGTTACTTACTGGAGCGGATTAACTTTAGCGTTTCTCACAACGGGTATGATTCTGAACCTTATGTTGGTAGCAGGTATAGTTTTTGCCTTGAGCCCAACGGGGTACAGAGACCTAGGTTTAGGGATATTTGGTTGGCCCTGTCAGTTGGGGACAGAGCCTGGGGTGGGGGGAGGACGCTGCTATTTTCTTAATTTGTTCACTAATGTTAAAATATTTGCCCATCAGACACTTTTCTTGTTCTACTTTTTCTTTTTCAATACTACATTGACAGTCTATTACTTGGTTACACTTTATTATCATGCAGAGTTCGACTAGGTTTATGACATGGAATGTTAAGGGATTAGGACATGTGATAAAAAGGAAAAAAATACTGACATTCCTAAAAAAAGAAAGAACCACAATTGCCATGCTTCAAGAAACGCATCTATCGGATAGCGAGCATCTGAAATTGAATCGGGATTGGGTGGGTCAAGTATATTATTCTTCATGCACAGCCAACCCCAGGAAAAGAGGAACGATTATTTTAATTATTAAACACTTGCCATTTATTCTTGAAAATCAAATTAGAGACCCAGAGGGTAGATTTATTTTGGTCACAGGCTTAATATTTGGCCAGCATATTACTATGTTAAAATGTTTACGCGCCAAATGAAGACTCTCCCAAATTTATATCCAAAATGATTTTGTTATTCAATGAACACTGTAAAGGACTTGGAGTCTGCGCCGGAGACTTTAATTGCGTGATGGATGAGAGATTGGACAAATCCTCGTCAGGCACTCTAGTCAATCCTAGATCCTCTTTGATTCTTAAAAAATTGTGCAAAGAGACTGGTCTAATTGATAGCTGGAGAGAAATGAACCCTCTTATTAGAGACTACACATTTTCTTCCAATCCCCATGGTTCGTACTCTAGAATTGATTATATTTTTATCCCAAACACTTCTTTTAATCTTACATCTTTTAGTCAAATTGGCTCAATTGCTATTTCAAATCATGCTCCGGTTCAGATAGATATTACATTAGGGACTCCGACAACAAGAAGTAAGGTATGGAAACTGAATTCGTCAATGTTGTCGGACCCCAAATTTTGTAATGTAGTTAGAGAATCAATAAAAAACTATTGGTCAGATAATAAAAACTCACCCGTCACCCCTGCTGTAATGTGGGATGCAGCTAAGGCTACAATCCGGGGATACATTATTTCCTATACCGCTGCACATAAAAAAGCCATGATATCTAAACAACAAGAATTGGAAAGGGAAGTAAAAAAATTAGAACGCTTACATAGCACAACTCCCACTCAAACTAACTGGTCTGCTTTATGCCATGCTAGAGCTGAACTCAATTTGGATCACACCAATCATATAAAAAAATTACTTTTTCTTTCCAAACAAAATTATCATGAGCACGCAAACAAATCGAGTAGACTGTTAGCATATCAGAAAAAAAAAGAATAATTCTGAGAGAATAATTAAATCTCTAAAGATGTCGGAGGGCATCACTACATATGATCCTGCACTTATAAATGATGCATTTCGAACTTATTATGAATCAACACAGTCTCACACCCAAGGCGTCATCTTACTGACGCTTTTGACCATGCGTCAACATGCCGACGCACATGGCACCCTTTAAGCGTCAATATGAGACGCTCACCTCAGGCGTCATCTTACTGACGCTGACCCTTTAGCGTCAGTTAGATGACGCTAAAGGTTATGGGTAGGTTTAGGTCTGGGGTAGGGTTAGGATTAGACCACTAGGAGGCGCGTCTCATATTGACGCTTAAGGGGTGCCATGTGCGTCGGCATATTGACGCATGGTCAAAAATGGTCCATAGCGTCAGTTAGATGACGCCTTGGGTGTGAGACTGGGTTGTATGAATCACTATATTGTTCACAAAACAGTGCCGCACAATTAGAATTTGAAACTTTCTTTAATAATATTTCTCTCCCAGTTATTTCAGATGAAGACCGAAATTACCTTAACTCATCTAGAGGTCTTGGCAGCAATACATTCAATGCCATCTAATAAATCACCAGGACCTGACGGTTTCCCCCCGGAATTTTATAAATCATTTTGGCCTGAGCTTTCTAATATTTTTATGCCCGCTTTACAAGCTGCTTTAGATCAAGGTATAATACCTGAAACATGGAAAACTGCAAATATCTGCCTAATACTTAAGAAGGACAAAGACCCACAAGACTGTGCATCATATAGGCCAATAAGTCTCCTCAATACAGATTCTAAAATACTGGCTAAAGTTCTGGCGTGTAGGTTGGAGAGCATATTACCTAAGATTGTTAAACCAGATCAGACAGGGTTTGTGAAATCGCGTTACGGCACTGATAATATACGCAGACTGTTAAATATTATTAATTTTGTTCAAAAGGAAAGGCACCCTGCACTTGTTCTCTCCCTTGATGCTGAAAAAGCTTTTGACAGAGTTGAGTGGGACTTTTTGTTTGCCACTCTTGGGAAATTCAACCTAGGGGATAATTTTATCAGATGGGTGGCGTTGCTTTACTCTAATCCTAAGGCTGCAGTGGTCGCGAACAGTCTCACTTCAGCTCCATTCTGTATAGGGCAGTGGTTCTCAAACTTTTTCGGTCATTCCCCACTTTGGACAAGGGGGAATTTTCAAGCCCCACCTGCCCCCATCGCCCCGACACAATGCTAATGAAATACGTAACAAGCTTAAAATGTTCCAATTTATTGAAGTAACAATAAATAGAATACTTCAATAGAATATACCTTACGCCGATGCGTATTAAGAAGATGTTTACCAACGCTACAGGCCTGTGCTTCAAGTGCAACAAAGATAAAGGCACATTCATGCATTGCTTTTGGTACTGTGACAAAATTTTGTCATACTGGAAGAAAGTACATAGTGTAATGGAAGACCTTCTTGGACTACACTTCGATATGACCCCAGCTTTGTATTTATTGAATCTTAATGTGAACACTCTGTTTAAAAAAGATGCAACACAACTATTTGTTGTCTTGCTATATTTAGCTAAAAAATGCATTTTGTTACTTTGGTCTGCATCACAGGCTCCATCCTTCGAAATGTGGACATCACAAATCGCTACATGGTTACCACTTGAAAAGCTCACCTACGATAAACATAAAAAATCTGACAGATTCTGGCTCATATGGTCTCCCCTTTGGGAATATATAAAGGGAACTCCCTTAACAGGCATACCAAACCGCTTCTAATTTCTGCAAATTTTCTTTGACTTCCTATCTAAAGGATGCTTTAAGTCAAGTCTTTTTATGTTTTGTACAACCTGTAATACGAATAGAACTTTGTTGTGATACTGTAAATGTAAATTTTCTACTGTGGGCAAACAATAAAAAAGACAAAAAAAGAAAAATGGATTTCTGGTTTACTCGCTCATTATGTACTTTTTATACATTTTGAACAAAAAATGTTACGGACTGCAGCTTTAATTTAATGTTGTTTGAAAGCATGTTCAAATAACGTTTTAATTTCTGTTTAGGGTTTAGCGAAGAGTGCGTCATTGGAGCATCTCTCTTTAGCACACTGTCCGATCGCAGATCAAGGTTTGGAAGGTGAGTTGAAGTTTTCATTCTGACAATTCACTTTGACTGTCTTGTGGAAATAAGGATTTATGCCACTCACAGTGTTGGGTAAGCTAACTTTTAAAAAAATGGGTCCGTTACTGATTACAAATTACATGATAAATTTTTTTGTTGGTAACATGATTTTTTTTATCACATTGCATTGAATAGTATAGTATTGTAACCATATTGATAAAAAATACAAAGAGCATTCAATCTTACATAACACCAGGGTTTCCCAGACTGTGAGTTTAATAATTAAATCATACACATTTAAAATCAAAACAATAATTTTAAAATAATAAAAGAATATAATAAAAATGGGTTTGAAAGACAGAAACCTTCCAAAGACAGAAATACAGGGTTAAATGACTGAGTGATAATTCAAATAATAATTAATCTGGAGATTATTTGATATGCAGTGTTGAGAAAATATTAAAAGTGAAATGATTTCTGTAAACCCAGCGGTTTGTGGCCTCTCGATTGTAGTTAAAGGCCTCTGACTAGAAGCTGGTCTGTGTGTGCAATTTCACAAAACTAAAAGACTTTCTGAATGTACATAAACAATATGCTTTTTTTTTTTACATTTTAAAACATGAAAAAAAAAAAAGAATTGGGGAGAATCAATAAATTATGAATTGTGTGATTGTGCCATTGTGTGAATAATATGTAATCATGCAATCAATAAAAAAGTAACCATTGTCTGATTACAAGTATTTTAACATGTAATACAATCTAATTGCAAGTGCTTAATATGTGTAATCTGATTACATAATCCATATTACATGTAATTACTGCTTATATTACATGATGTTACTGCTACTCAGTACTGGTCACTCATATGCGAGAAGTTTTTGTACACATGCAAACATTGTGTTTATATGTATTGAATTGTTATTAATGCAGAAAATATTTTTGTTGTTATATTGTCCTTTGATCAGTCATTTGTCATTGTGTGAAATATTCATCATCGATTAAGACCGTGGATTTCACTTCCTGTAACATTACCTGGCAGGGAGCGGAGCATATGGCGAACATCATAAAGGTACAAGTCCACATTTATTAGTATAATCAATTTCTCTGGAAGCGGATTCGTGAGTTTCGCCTGTCGTTTAGCACCAGGCAGTGAGGCGGCACAGTGCGGTGTGGGTGGAGACGCTGCGCTACAGGAGGGCTGAGTTTGAGGCCATGAAAGGACTACGCAGAGTTACTCTCAACGACAACATTCTGATCGGAGACAGAGGAGTAATGGCACTCGCCCGTGAGCTTACAGAGGACCTGTGGGTCAAAGGTTCGAGAGGTCACTCTTCAACACACAGGCTAGAGTTGTCAGAAGTACCAACTTCGGTACCAATTCGTACTGAAACTTTAAAAATGTGATGATACCAGCATATCCTAGTTAGCATTTACAGTTAGTGCAAAATGCAGCCGCTAGAGTTCTTACTAGGTCAAGAAAATATGATCATATAACACCAATTTTATCATCTCTACACTGGTTACCTATTAAGTTCCGTATCAATTACAAAGTATTACTACTGACCTATAAAGCCCTAAATGGTTTAGCTCTTGTGTATTTAATGGATCTTCTATCGCCCTATAATCCATCGCGTTCTTTAAGATCCCTAAATTCGAGGCTTCTGGTCATTCCTAGGATATCTAAGTCCACTAAAGGAGGGAGGGCGTTCTCACATTTAGCTCCTAAACTCTGGAATAGCCTTCCTGATACTATTCGTTGCTCAGACTCGCTCTCCCAGTTCAAAACTAGATTAAAGACGCATCTCTTCAGCCAAGCATTCACATAATGCTTACCTTTTATACCACTGTTGAATCAGATCGAATGCATTAATATTATGAACAGCAGCTTCGCTAATTATTTCCCATCTGCTTTTCTGCTGTTATCTCGGGACGCTAGTCCCGAGGTAAATAGCGTTCGTCAGCTCCAGTTTGTATCCAGCCTCTCACGGAGACTTCAGATGCCCCAACACCTGCGATGAGATGACTCGACGCCTGTGAAGAGACGACTCAACGCCGGCGATATGTTATGCCCTAAATTAATACATGATGATTAACTAACTGTATTTTTCTATGTACATTTCTGAAATGCACTTTCTGTAAAGCTGCTTTGAAACAATATGTATTGTGAAAAGCGCTATACAAATAAATTTGAATTGAATTGAATTTCCCTCTAGCATTATGAGTGCTGTTGAACAGATTCTCAAACACCTCTGATTGGCCATTGTGTTCACGCGCTCAACATATATGTCTCTGATTGGCCATTATGTTCACGCGCTCAACATATATGTCTCTGATTGGCCATTGCGTTCACGCGCTCAACATATATGTCTCTGATTGGCCATTGCGTTCACGCGCTCAACATATATGTCTCTGATTGGCCATTGTGTTCACGCGCTCAACATATATGTCTCTGATTGGCCATTGTGTTCACGTGCTCAACATATATGTCTCTGATTGGCCATTGTGTTCACGCGCTCAACATATATGTCTCTGATTGGCCATTGCGTTGACGCGCTCAACATATATGTCTCTGATTGGCCATTGTGTTCATGCGCTCAACATATATGTCTCTGATTGGCCATTGTGTTCACGCGCTCAACATATATGTCTCTGATTGGCCATTGCGTTGACGCGCTCAACATATATGTCTCTGATTGGCCATTGTGTTCATGCGCTCAACATATATGTCTCTGATTGGCCATTGTGTTCACGCGCTCAACATATATGTCTCTGATTGGCCATTGCGTTGACGCGCTCAACATATGTGACCTGATCCAGCAAAATGAGTCACAGTGACCCAAATTTAAAAATTGAGATTTTGGTATTAATGGAAAGAGGAGACCATAAGCTTTCAATTGATATCCTAGTCAAAGTCATACCTTGAATGGTTGTAAAGATATACACATTTGAATTATGGTCGTCTGCCCTCTTTTTCCAATTGAAAACCTGAGAAAATCGCTTTTAAAGTTTTTTGCCCGTTTTTTGTTGACATCTTTCAAAATCCATTACATTTAAAGGGATAAACTATTTATTTTACAGCTTAATATGACCAAAGACATTAATATGTAAATGCTATTAAACCAGGCTGAAGCTCAAATTATTTTAAAAGTTTTTATTTGAATAAATAATTTAACAGTAGGCCTACCTTTTACAAAAATGTACTAAAATCAGAAAGATTGAACAGAGGTGCTACATTTTTGCTTGAGAGAGAGGGTGTGTGTGTGTGTGTGTGTGTGTGTGTGTGTGTGTGTGTGTGTGTGTGAGAGAAAGTGAGAGGCAGAGAGACAAGGAAACAGAGATCAAATAATGCTAGTCTATGCAATCATATCTTAGCTAGTTGACAATAACAGCGTAACAAATTCATAACGGAGATACCAACATTTAAATATTGGGTTAATCAAACACATTGTAATGGATTCTCCTTGCAGATAAATAGCTACACTCATTCACATTTGTCAATCACGTTATGTCAATCACGCGTGCACACTACGAAACTTTCATCCGTTATATAAAAACAATCGTAAGTTTTTTGCATCCGTAGCAAGCAGTTTGAATGGTGTTTTGACAATTCGGAGCCACCGAATCAATACGAAAAAACGCATACGAAAAAAACGCGGACTCAGTGTGCAATGGCCAGGGGGCTTGATGACGCTTTGGCAACTTTGCTCGCTTTTGACAGCGACATTTCTCAAATTAATAATATTTAATCTTTCTGAGGAGATCTGCTAGCTTGTTTATTACACAGAGCGCTCGCTGCGAGTCTGACAGGAGGGTGGCTGGACCAATCGCGTGCCGGTCAGTCGAAACGGCTTCCCATCGACAAATGATCAGCATTTGTGTAGATTTCTAAGCTTTTTGATTGGTTCTATACAACGTGTAACACCATTTAAAGAGCAGAGATAGTGACGTTTCAGGGGATACCCGGGAAATGCTCAGAGGTGACGAGAGGAGTTGAGAAAAGCAATGTTCATTTCCAGCGAATTTAGTTAAACTTTGTACACTTTAATAGCAATTTAAATACCTTTACTCAATTATCTGGACTACGAAACTTTGGGAGATTATTTTTGAATGTCTGTTCTTTGAAATTAGCAAAAAAAAAAAAAATCTATTATTTCATTGTTTTTCCACGTAATCGGCCCATATCTTAAAATAGAACGTTGCGACTTCCGACTCATTTCGCCAGATCGGGTCACATATATGTCTCTGATTGGCCATTGTGTTCATGCGCTCAACATATATGTCTCTGATTGGCCATTGTGTTCATGCGCTTAACATATATGTCTCTGATTGGCCATTGTGTTCACGCACTCAACATATATGTCTCTGATTGGCCATTGTGTTCATGCGCTCAACATATATGTCTCTGATTGGCCATTGTGTTCATGCGCTCAACATATATGTCTCTGATTGGCCATTGTGTTCACGCACTCAACATATATGTCTCTGATTGGCCATTGTGTTCATGCGCTCAACATATATGTCTCTGATTGGCCATTGTGTTCATGCGCTCAACATATATGTCTCTGATTGGCCATTGTGTTCACGCGCTCAACATATGTCTCTGATTGGCCATTGCGTTGACGCGCTCAACATATATGTCTCTGATTGGCCATTGTGTTCATGCGCTCAACATATATGTCTCTGATTGGCCATTGTGTTCATGCGCTCAACATATATGTCTCTGATTGGCCATTGTGTTCACGCACTCAACATATATGTCTCTGATTGGCCATTGTGTTCATGCGCTCAACATATATGTCTCTGATTGGCCATTGTGTTCATGCGCTCAACATATATGTCTCTGATTGGCCATTGTGTTCACGCACTCAACATATATGTCTCTGATTGGCCATTGTGTTCATGCGCTCAACATATATGTCTCTGATTGGCCATTGTGTTCATGCGCTCAACATATATGTCTCTGATTGGCCATTGTGTTCACGCACTCAACATATATGTCTCTGATTGGCCATTGTGTTCATGCGCTCAACATATATGTCTCTGATTGGCCATTGTGTTCATGCGCTCAACATATATGTCTCTGATTGGCAATTGGGTTCACGCGCTCAACATATATGTCTCTGATTGGCAATTGGGTTCACGCGCTCAACTTATGTCTCTTGTTGGCTCAAAAACATGTTGTCTTTGACGCTCTTCACCGAGCGCTTACACATACACACGGGAGCATTTGAAGGCGGGTCAGCGGATCCGTATATCAGTGGATATATTAGTGTAAGCTAATATAGTGTGTATCCGTGTAAGCGCTCGGTGAAGAATGTCAAAGATGTCATTGTTGATCATTGTAGCCAATCCCAGACATATATGTTGAGTGCGTGAACACAATGGCCAATCAGAGGTATTTAAGAGTTATTTAAGTATTTTAAGAATCCATTCAACAGCACTAAAAAAATTATAATTTCACATTTTTAAAATTTCAGTACCGACTTGTTACCGGAGTCTGTACTTTTTGACAACTCTCACACAGGCATGTACGGTATATTTGACTAGCACACATAGACCCACATTTCCACCTTCTGTTCCTCTAGCGGTGGACCTGCAGCGCTGTGGGATCTCGAACGAAGGAGCGCAAGATCTAGAGAAGATGCTTCAGTCCAATTCCACTCTGTGTGTGCTTGACATCAGGAGAAACCCACTCATCGGTAACTCATCCAAAACTTTGCGGTTGGGGTCAGGAAGATTTTTTAATGTTTTTGAAAGAAGTCTCTTCTGCTCACCAAGGCTGCATTTATTTTAATTAAAAAATACAGTAATATTGTGAAATGTTATTACAATCTGAAATAACTGCTTTCTATTTGAATATATTTAGGGGCCAAGCACCGAAGGTGCGGAGGCACCTATTGTATCTGTTTTCGGTTACTATTATTATTCTGGAAGGGGTAGTAAAATTCAATCAAAGTCACGTGTCAGTCATTTTTGACTTGTTTTTTCACATAAATCTCTAAGCGAATTGAGATGTTTTCACCAAAATTGACACAGATGTATGGGCTCACTCTGAGGACACAAAGAAAAAACGGTGGGACTGAGCCTCTTGGTGGCGCTATAATAGAACAAAACATGAAATTCCCATTGACTTTAAAACAGTATTGTGATGTAAAATGCTATACTTAACGAATGCATTGCTGTAACATTACGAAACTCAGAATGTGCCATCAGCAGCATGCCCTGAAGGTAATCAAAAGATTTCCAGACAGCGCCACCTTTTGGTAAAAAGTTATAATTTAATTTCCAAAAATGCTAATAACTTTGAATAAATTTGCCTATTGTAATGACACTGATCTTGATAGATCCCTTTGGTTATGCCCAAAACATCGATACCAGGTTTGCCATAATCAGCCAAACTTCCTGTCCGCCATCTTTATTTTCTTTTAAAACCTTCTTTTTCAAACTTCTCCTAGACCGTCGGTTCGATTTTCACCAAAATCGAACCGTATCATCTCCAGACCGTGCTGACTAAAAGTTATGGATTTCGTGAGGATAGAAGAAACCGTTTTCGTATACCACAGCATCAAAGTTGAGACATGCTGCCAAAATGACTATTCAGGCTTTATCTCTGCAATGCCTTCACATTTTGACACCAAACTTTGTATGTGTCATTGTCACCTCACTCTGTTCACAACGCATCGATTTCATAACTGCGCCACCTATTGGTCGAAAGTGATAAACCGTTAAATAATTTTATTGTATATATAATTTAAGCCATTTTGCCTAAATTCATCTTTAAATGTCTTTAACTGCTCCTTGCTGCATTTGGTCTGAAACTCCCAGCCATGTTGGCATGTCTTGTCGTCTGCTTTTGCGCTTGGCCCCGGTAATGGCTGCTTGCAGCTATATTTATAAATGTAATTTTTTCATATGATGGCAAAGCTGAATTTTCAACATCATTACTCCAGTCTTCGGTGTCACATGATCCTTTAGATTATTATCAATGTTGAAAACAGTCGCACTGCTTAAAGGGATAGTTCACCCAAAAATGCTAATTTACTCATCCTCGGGCCATCCAAGACGATTGATGATCTTCAGGAGAACAGTAAAGAAGATTTTTGCTGAAACTGTGATCCTTGGTAATGCAACCCTGTATGTTTTTTGTTTGTCAGACAAAACTAAATAATACCCGTGGCTAAAGAGGCTGAATTGATCAAACATGTGGTCAACTCACTGTCTGCTACTGGCATCTTGGTCATCACCTGAAAACACTTCAATTTAACAAACAAAAAATGCTCTGAACATATTTCTAAATTAACTTAAAGCTGCAGTCCGTAGCTTTTTTTGGGTTAAAAATTGTCCAAAATACATATTTGATAAAACACGTAACCAGCCAGTGTTCAACGCTATCTGCTTGCCTTAGCTCGATTCAAAGCGGTAAGCTTGTAATAACGTTTTTAATTCCAGTGGTACTGGTGGATTTCCGCGGGAAATTCGAGCATGTCTTTGCGTCATTACGTCACATCTGTACACACACATGTCTGTACACACACATCTGTACACACACATGTCTGTACACACACATCTGTAAACATAAAGAAGGAGTCTCGGCTAGTATAAGCTATATTGAGTCATTACGTCACATCTGTACACACACATCTGTACACAAACATGTCTGTACACACACGTCTGTACACACACGTCTGTACACACACATGTCTGTACACACACATCTGTTCACACACATTTATACACATAAAGAAGGAGTCTCGGCTAGTATAAGCTATATTGAGTCATTACGTCACATCTGTACACACACATCTGTACACAAACGTGTCTGTACACACACGTCTGTACACACACATGTCTGTACACACACATCTGTTCACACACATCTATACACATAAAGAAGGAGTCTCGGCTAGTATAAACTATATTGAGTCATTACATCACATCTGTACACATAAAGAAGGCAAGTTTATTTATATAGCACATTTCATACACAACGGTCATTCAAAGTGCTTTACATAGAACAATCAAAAGAAATAAGAATAATTAAAACAGTTAAGAGCAAAGAAATTAAAACAATCAAAAGAAATAATAATTAAAACAGTTTAGAATATAAAATAAAATACAGTACAAACTGTCGGACACAGTAGCACAGTGCTCATTCAGTAAATGCACAGCTAAACAGAAGTGTTTTGAGTCTGGATTTGAATGTGACTACTGTAGGAGCACATCTGATCTCCTCTGGAAGCTGGTTCCAGCTGCGGCTGGCATAATAGCTAAAAGCAGACGCTCCTTGCTTAGAGTGAACCCTTGGTATTTCAAGCTGATGTGATCCTAATGAGCTGAGTGCTCTGTTGGGTTTATATTCAGTGAGCATATCTGCAATGTATTGAGGTCCTAGGCCATTAAATGATTTATATACCAGTAATAAAGAAGAGTCTCGGCTAGTATAAGCTATATTGCGTGTGAGGATGTTGGAGGTGGAGATTTATAGCCTTTTCTCACAGCACTTGATATAATTAAACTGATCAATTTGATGGCGGATCCAGAAATATTCAAACGACGATCACCAGTGACAACAGACTCACCCGCTGTAAAATGCAAAAGACTTCGTTCGGACTTCGGAGTGGCGACAGAAAAAAAGAGACTGCAACCGGACCCATGCGAAAACAAGGATAATATCGGAAGGGCATTACATGTAGTCACGCATTGCTTACGTTGTTAACATTTAACAATTTGAGAACAAAGTATAATTTGCACGGTTTTGCGTGATCGATAACTTATAAGCGATTGTTAGATTTAATCAGCGCGATTTACTGCAATGTCAGAACCAGAACAAAAGTGGATGTTTCTTACTAGTTCAGATGACATTTTCCGGTGAAAATTCGTATGTTGGTCATACTTCCAAAAAGAATAATCTGTGATTCTGAATGCCAGTATCCACACCGGCGTGGTGACTGACAGCCGCACACTCTCCTCAAACACTGTGTTCATCCGCGCTGTGCCGTGTCGAGGGTGTTGAAGTACAACTCACGTAAAGTTGATAATTCCGCGAATGACTGCAATTGCAGATTTCGAACAGAGATGGCGACAAAGAGGAAAAATGCCGGACTGCAGCTTTAATAAAGAAATGAAAAGAATGAAATATAACTACTTTGCCATTAAAATCAATACTGAACTATTTTGATGGCTGCAACAGTAGTATAGGCTGTGTAATGGCTGGCTCCAGTCCGACTCGGGCAGAGAATTCGGATAATCTGTCGATCGGCTAGGGTCTAGATTTGAGGCCTGTGCAGGGCTTTATGGAAAAGCCCTTGAAAAGTGCTTGTATTTCACTCTCAAAAGGTTGGACGAATCCAGAAATGAATAATGTAAAACCTATTTCTGCCACAATACCATGGTTACAGTTAGCTTTACCACATTAAATCCATGATGAATGTTGGTGATTTGTCGATTGAAAAGCCTTCTATAACTTGTTCGTTCATGGCACAATGTTTCTCCTGGTTTCCACATCAGCTCTATTTGATCTGATATGGTTTACAAGAGAGAATTCTGCACTGAATTTGAAGTTCCTGAGTGGTCAATAAAAATCCCATGGATTTAATGTTGGCTTTAATATTCTAATGTATAAAATGATCACAGTTCCTCAAGAAGAGGATGTTTGGCCAGCACCTGCACTCTGAGACAACGTGTTCAAACTCCAAATCATGTTCACATTACTTTGTCAACGCTTTCCTTTTCTTTTAGATAATAATGTGGTGAAAGCTGTGCTCAAAAAAGTTCTCATGAACGCCAAAAGCCATGATTCACAGGTCTGAAAACTTTTGCAAATGTTTTAGATTATGAGATATTACATGAATCTGTTGTTTCTTGATTAAAATGTAATGAATATCTTTAAAGGTGATGATACACAGGGCAACATTTTGAGCAATGTTGCTGGGCAATCTTGCCGAGCGATTGTTGCTTGGGCACTTTCCCATTGAAAATGTGCAATAAATTTCTATCTGGATAGTTTAGGTCGGTCGTGGGCCCTGTGTCTCACGTGGTTGCCCGTTGACGGCAACATTGCCCCGCAACGTTGCCCTGTGTATCATCACCCTAACAGTCAGTTGATCACATGTGCCGTCCTCATTGTCAGTGTGTTGTGTGTTCCAGTATCTGTGGCTTAAACCTTCTTCTCCTAAAGACACTCTTGATCAGTCACGGCAGTTGAGGAGGAGGAACGCAGGGAAAGCTACTTATCGAATCGGTATTTGAGTTACTTGGCTAGTTTTTTCTAGCAGTGAGATGTTTAGTCTGTTTGACTGGACTGTTCACCATCATTCTCCGCAGGATCTCGCCGGTCCTCAGTAAACTCTGTGTGGAGGCCTCCTCGGCCTGGGTCAGTGGGGTACGTCCCATGGCGCACTGCTGCACGGGCGGGCTTACAGAGGTAAGCACATGATAAGTGATATCAGTCTCAGGATCGGTTTCAGACAGGACAGGAACTGGGGCCTCGCACAAAACGTGCCCTGAAAGAGCCGTACGCCACTTCCCACGCATAAGTTGTGATTTATAAAAACAAACATGACAGGAAAATTTGCGCACCTGGACGCAAACTCTGACCCATGCGTACCGGTACAAACAATTTGGAGACGGAGCAGTTTGGCGACACCGATGGTGAGCTGAGGGACTGACAATAATAGTTAAAGGACAACTCCGGAGCAAAATGAACCTTTGGTCTAATAACACATTGGTACTGTTACGGATTTTCCCTTTACGCACCTGACTTAGTTTGAACCTGGTGTCCTTGACACCTGAAAATATTATACTCAGTTGAGTTACCTCTGAACGCGCTGGTTGACACAATCTAACCCCGCCTAAGAGTCGAACGACGTCTCGTCCCTTATTGAACACTATCACTTGGTAATAAGGTCTCTAGTGTTCTTAACTTGCCCCACACTATCACTTGGTAGTAAGGTCTCAATAACTCAATTCGCTCAATAACTTGTTCTTCTAACTAACTTTGCTGCGCAGCCTAAATGACAGACAGACTTGAGTAATTGTCCTATAAATGTTCTTTATTACGGCCAGGAGTTCTCGAGCATTTCTCAGAGAATCTCCCAAGAATAAACAAGGCCGGAGGATCTCAGACAATTTCCATTGAGAATCCCACCGAAAACACGGAAACAACAGTTTTTATACAATAGGGAGGTACGGCATAATGACATTAATTTGATTGGTTATTCATTTACAGTCTCTTCTGTTACTGGGTAGAGAAGAATTTGTTTTAATGATTACTTCATTGATCATAAGTTCTAACTTAGTCATCTGTCTAGTCTCATTTCGCATATTTGTTATTTATACACACAGTCAGGGGTTCGACACACATACATTCATGTAAAATACAGAATGTCTTAGAACATTGTTTTAGAGATTTAGCAGGTTAAACAAGGTCAAATGTTAAAACATGGTTTTCTTAATATTCAGCTTAAATTTTCTATCACAGTACCTAGTCAACCGTTCTCTGAGATTTGTTTTCATGATAATCGAATGTAAAGAGTTTTATCTCTAAAAACTGTTTAGCGTATAACACTAGTATATAGGGCATAGAGTAATGAAAAATAAAAATCGCTAGTTAATACCACTAACAAGGTATTGATCTCCATTGTTAAAAGCGCTATATAAATGAAGATGACTTGACTTGACTATTAACTACTTATTAAACGGTCTGTACACTTACAAAGTTCTCAATGCTTCGGTTTGCATGTAAGGACCCTCATTATGTTACTGTGTTAGTGTGGGGCTATTTTGAGCCTTGTTAGTGGTATTAACTAGCGATTTTTATTTTTCATTACTCTATGCCCTATATACTAGCGTTATACGCTAAACAGTTTTTAGAGATAAAACTCTTTACATTCGATTATCATGAAAACAAATCTCAGAGAACGGTTGACTAGGTACCAATGTGTTATAAGACCAAAGGTTAATTTTGCTCCGGAGTTGTCCTTTAATAACAGTTTAAATAAAATAAAATAATGATTTAAACTATGTTTTACATCTGATATACACACTTAGATTAAATATGCCATTCTCATTAAGCACTTAAATGACATGAAATCAACATTTTACAACATTTTTTATATTCTAATAGATAGAAATATTTGTGCTGGATGCGATGCTTTGGAACACTTTTTCTGTGGCATGCTGTGTTTTAATGTTTTAACTACAGCGAGGATTGCTTAGCGCATGATAATAGCAGAACTCATGGTCTGAGAAAATATTTTCGTGCAAACAATCAGTAATGCAGAATTAGGCCTATCTGTTTCCATTAAAAATATTAAACAATTGAGAATACTATTTGGCCATTGGAAAAGATTGAGACTCATGTGCGCACAATCTTCCGCTGACTGGGATTTATGAAGGGAATTTTGCGCAGGTTCTACGCACGGTTTTAGGAGTCTGAATATTTTTTGCCGTATGTGATTTTTGACTTTCAGGCGGACGTACACTTTTAGGAAGCATCCTACGCACAGTTTTATAAATGAGACCCCTGAAGAGTTGCCTCATAGAATTCAGATCTGCTTTTCCATTCAAGTCAATAAGATACATGAACGTGTCTCTCTTTGTCGATCTATAAAGAGGTGCGTCACAGGCTGGGATGCCAGACCAGAGTTTTCAAGTAAGGGCTGATTTATTGCTTTATGTTTATGTAAATGATGTTTTTGCATTGACTTTATTCATTTAGCAGGCACTTTTATCAAAAGGGACTTACTAATTGCTGATTTGTTGCTCTGTAGTTGTTGTTATTGTTAATGTGGTTGTCATGATGGTTTTGTTCATCAGAACGCCACCTCTGTGAGGGTAACGGTGGAGACTGAGTCCGAGTCCGAGGAGGGGGATGATGCACATGTACCGAGTCCTCAGGAGAAAATCACAAGCTTCCAGTTCAGAAGACTACAGACAGAGAACAGCCGATTACAGGTAACACAGTCTGTGCGATTGATGTGTGTCATGAGTGTATTGCAGGAGGAGGCTTGGTAAGACAGCGAGGAAAACAAAATGTCATTTTAATTATGAGAGACTATTCAGAGAGGTAACGTGAATATACACTACCAGTCAAAAGTTTGAAATAATTATGAGTTTCTGAAAGTTAAAGTTTTGAAAGTCTCGTGTGCTCACTAAGGCTGCATTTGTATGAAGAAAAACACAGTAAAATATACACTACTGTTCAAAAGTTTGGGGTCAGTGAGAATTTTATTTTTATTTTTTGGAGGAAAGAAATCAATACTTTTATTTATCAAGGAATAATTAATTTGATCGAAAGTGACAGTAAAGACATTTATAATGTTACAAAAGATTCTTTCTAACCCTAACCCTATTCATCAAAGAATCCTAAAAAAAAAAAAAAAAAACTCTACAACTGACAGACCAACAACTGTTTCAACATTGATAATAATAATAAATGTTTCTTGAGCATCAAATCCTCATATTATACTGATTTGTGAAGGATCATTTGACACTGAAGACACTGACACTGGTGATGCTGAAAATTCAGCTTTGATCACAGGAATAAATTACACTTTACTATATATTCACACAGAAAACAGCTGATTTACACTGGAATAATATTTAATACTATAACTGATTTTTGTTGTATTTTTAATCAAATAAGCGCAGCCATGGTTAGCAGAAGAGAATTCTTTTAAAAGTATTTAAAATCGTACCGACCCCAAACTTTTGAACGGTAGTGTATATATATATATATTACAGCAATTTAAAAGAACTGTTTTTATCTCAATATATTTTTAAGAAATGTATTCCTGTGATCAAAGCTGAATTTTCAGCATCATTACTCCAGTCTCATGATCCTTTTGAAATTATTCTAATATGCCGATTTCTTGCTCATTTGTTATCAATTATTAATGGTGCTAATATATTAATAATGCTTATCAATATGGAAAACACGAAATGTTGGAAAGAGGGACACATTCTTTGATGAATATAAAGTTTAAAAAGAACAGTGCTTATTTGAAATAGAAATCTTTTTGAAATAGTCACAATATAAATGTCTTTACTGTCACTTTTAAACAATTTAATGTCTGATGAAAATTGAAAAGTAATAATTTCTTTTATTTGATTTTTTTTTAAATTACCAACCCCAAATTTTTGAATAGTGGTGTGTATCACGGTTTCCATAAAAATATGAAGCAGCACAACTATTTTCAACATTGATAATAATAATGTTTCTCGAGCATCAAATCCTCATATTAGAATGATTTCTGAAGGATCATGTGACACTGAAGACTGGAGTAATGATGCTGAAAATACAGCTTTGATCATATATTCACATAGAAAACAGTTGTAATAATATTTCACAATATTACTGTTTTACAGTATTTTTGATAAAACTTTGGTGAGCGGAAGATACTTCTTTCAAAAACATAAAAAAATCTTAATTATTCCCAAAACTTTGACCGGTAGTGTACAGTATGAGCCACTAGTGGCCCTTTAGAAAATAAACTCTGAAGACTGTTTATTTAATTTGTCCAGTAACATTTTTCAACAGTGTATACTTTTCCCTACATTTTTTTAAGTCGTATCTCATGTTTCATCTCAAGCTATGCACTCACACTGTTGGTAAACAAATACACAAATTTAAGAAAAATAAATAAAAACAAAGCTAAATTGTTCGGTGTGGTGGGTAATGGCGTATGATCATGTCCTTCTGTTTAGATTTAATCATAAATATGTAATAATCATGTAATAGTTCTTATTTTTATGATTAACTCATAGTTTGAAGACAGAAAGTCTGGGACAATATAATAATAGTAAAAATAATCCAATTAATGAAAGTAGCAATGATAGTGATGATAAAGTTTTCCAAACAGTTTTATTGTGGTCTTAATATAACAACAAGAAAAAAGAAAATGCCCAAAAAGTGTACTATATGTACAGTGGCACTTGGTGTATATATTATATCTAATGTAAAGACATTCTTACATTTTTAAGCATGGCCTTAATATACAGTTAGATATTGTGGTGCCACTGTACACATGAAGTATAATGTGGTGCACTTCCTCCGCTCACCCACAGGTGGAGCTAGAAGAGTGTCGGCTGAGGCTGGCAGAGGAGAGGAACACCAGACTGAAGACCAACTCTCGCCTGGTGGAGGTACAAGTATTTCCAGTCATTCTGTTGGCAAAATGAATAGTACCATTTCAGAAAGTAATGTTCATCATGTCTCTTCCTGTAGCTGGAACTGGAGAATGAGCGTTTGCGCAGTCTGAATCAATCCCTGTCTGAAGCCCATCTCAACGCCTCTGTTCTAGATGATGAACATGTGCTGGAAAGCATCGAATCCTCCTTCCACAAATTCCACGCCTTCCTGGACCTGCTGAAAGATGCCGGGTTTGTCTGATCCGTTACCAGATATCTAATATATCTGAAATTTTTACATCTACTGTATGAATTTTGTGCCTTTTTTCTTCAGAAGTCGTGATGCCTTTCTAATCTTTTAAGATTTAGTTGGGATTAATTGAGAACTTCTTCCTGTTAGGCTTGGCCGGTTTGCGTCTATGGCTGGAATTGACCAATCAGACTTCGGGCTTCTTGGGCATCCTCAGCTCTCCTCAACAGAGCGGACACACATCAGCCGAGAGAACCAGAGAAACGAGGAGAGGAGGGAGACTTCAGCCGTGACACATTCAAAAATGATTTAATAAAAAATGAACATTTATTTACTACCATTCAAAAGTTTGGGGTCAGTAAGATTTTGTATGTGTCCGCAGTAAAAAGAAAGGTTTTGAACAGCTCACTGTAGCTGTTGTTGCTTCCGGCCGCCGGCAGTCAAAAATAGTCGATCTCCGAATGCAACGTAACAAGGAGGAGAGTAAAGATGGAAAGCTTCTAAAAGTTCCATATAAATTCACGGATAATTTGTTGTTTTGTCGTTAGTGAAAAATAATATTGACCTTGTATTTTAAAAAGGGATATGGAGGATATCCTCATATGGAGTCAGTTCATTCGCATTCGGAGATCGACTATTAATTCGACTATCATTTATTTTTACTGTATTTCTGATCAAATAAATGCAGCCTTGGTGAGCAGAAGAGACTTCTTTCAAAAACATAAACATTTTTATTCCGATTGGGAAGTCCTAACAAATAAGCGGAGTAATAAAAAAAAAATCATTAATCTCACTTACACCAAACTTTTGAATGATAGTGTATTTATTGTTTTATTTATATCATTATTATTATTTCTCGAATCTCCACACAGATGGCAGACGTCCCTCGACCTGAATCAAAGACTCACTCAGAACCTCCTGCTAACGCTGAAGACATTCCCCAGCCTCATTCCCAACCCGAAGTGCCTCTAACTCCAGTCGGCTTGTGTCGTTCCTCCCAAACGTTACAGGAGCCTCTTGAGTTTGAGGCCCCGGAGCAGAGCCGGATGTCCTCGGACCCCTCGAGCCGTCAGAGGGCCAGCGGAGGCTCTCGCTCAGCGAGTTCAGTCAGTCTTCAGTCAAAAGGCTCACGGTCCTCTCGGGCGAACGGGTCCGTGTGCTCGGATCGGTCTCTGTCGGGTTCTGCTGGATTGGTTGGGTTCTAGAGCTTGGTTAACTTTGAGCTTCTCCGGTTGTTTAAATGTTCGTTACTGCTGTCATAATCCTATTATGTTTGTTTGAAAAGTTGCTGTGCTTCATGACATTCTAGGTTCAGGATGTAGTTTATTCACAGATATTAATGTTTTTTTTATGATATATTTTTTTCTATGAATAATGTTTCATTTGAAAATAAACCCATTTTTGCACATACCATTTAACCGGCATAGTGCAACACATTGCTGTTTGCAGTGTGAAATTTTCTTTAGTCTTTAATGGTGTTGCTGCTCTGCCAGGGTGATTTCTGATTCTGAAATACTATTCAAACTTTATCATATATATATTATTATAATTATTATTATTTTTTAAATCTCATGCAATTAGAAATTTGAACATTAAAAATATTATCCATTATATATAAACTATTGATAAAAATGAATACTAATTATTTTAAACTATTTAAATGATTCTTGATTTTGAAAACACTGATTTTCACTAGTTAAATATTCTAAGTAGTTTGAAGTAAACAATTAATCATTTGACAAACCGTTATTTGACTTTCTTTATAATTGTGTAATTTAAAATGTAACATATTTAGATAAAGGTTTACCATACAGAATGAAGTGTCATTAATGTCAGATACTAAATCAACAATTTTTATTTAAAGTTGTGTTTTTAATGTTTAGTTTTAATGTGAATGTAAGTTTATTCTATGACAAGCATGTGAATATTTAAATATTTTACTGCCTGTATTTTAATTAAAGATGTTATAGCAACAATATGAATTCAAATTGCCTATAGGTTTTAACGATAATCGTCTGAAATGTACATAATTCATGGAATTATTGAATAATAACTTCATTACAATAAGCATTACGTTTAAGAATAGAAGAGAAAAAAATCATCTTAACCCTGGCTAACCTATTGTATATAAAACCATTTCAAGGACGTAAACAACAACAAAACGCGTTGGAATGCTACTGCAAATATATATAAAAGAAAAGACGACGACGTGTAATTCCCGGCCCCTTTGAATCAGACCCTGAAGATAACAGTGAAATCTCTTCTGATTCCAGGGGAAAGATGCTCCCTCAAGAAAAATGCGTTTATTTGAGTGTTATTGAGAGTTTAGCATGTAAGTTACTGTCTGGGGGAATGGAAACATTGGTCCGTTTGGACAGAGACTTATCTTCTTGTCCCATTATCAAAAACACCCTGTAGGCTACTAAAGGCAGGTGAATTATGAAAATGCAGTGTAAGACAAGGAAGATTGTATTTAATTTATGCTGAGTTTACAGAGTTGTAGATATTATTTGCATGAAATGGAGTAAGGCTTAAATCCATTCTGATCGTTAACGTTAATCTTAAGCGATCGGGTCTCAGAAATCGTGGATTAAACCGCTCGATTCATACAAATTAGTTTAACGATCTCTTTGTGAACTTTTTGAAGTGACAAAGTGTTATACCTTGACTGTCAGTCGAAGATTTCAGTCAAAATATCTTTATTTGTGATGGGAACGACACAAGGGTGAGTAAATGATGACGGTTTAAATGTGTTTTCGCTTAAATCTCGCTTAACAGCAGATTCGCTTGACGGGTCATGTGACGTCACATGCAGTAAGTTCTGTTCATGACGTCACAGGCTGGGAGCTCTTGTAGTGCAAAGTAAACACGCAGTGAGTGAGTGAGTGACACAGTAGTGAAATACAGTTTACAATTGCAGTCTCGATACAAACAATAGGTAACATGCTTGCAAACTTACCTGTGGAGATGGAGAGCAGCAGGACCGACGTGTTCGTGGATGCATTTGAATGTTTACCTGAGGAGATGGAGAGCAGCAGATACGACGTGTTCGTGGATGCATTTGAATGTTTACCTGAGGAGATGGAGAGCAGCAGATACGACGTGTTCGTGGATGCATTTGAATGTTTACCTGAGGAGATGGAGAGCAGCAGCAGCGACGTGTTTGTGGGTGACTTCTTACCTGAGGAGATGGAGAGGAGCAGCAGCGACGTATTTGTGGGTGACTTCTTACCTGAGGAGATGGAGAGCAGCAGCAGCGATGTGTTTGTGGGTGACTTCTTACCTGAGGAGATGGAGAGCAGCAGCAGCGATGTGTTTGTGGGTGACTTCTTACCTGAGGAGATGGAGAGCAGCAGCAAAGCTCAACCATCGACCAGCGCTGCTACAGATGCGCCTGTGCAGAACAACCCCGCAGGTAACTGAGGACATTAATACAAATCAAAACTCACATGTATGCAGAAATAACAGTGGGACCCGATTACTGGGTGTCTTCTCACACAACTCAAACTTGGTAACAACAGTATGAATGCATATTTGTCATTTTAGCTGAAATTAGGACTGGTGTTGCTTAAGACATTGTCGGTCGGTGTTTCTGTTAAAAAAACTAACAATAATACTGATAAGATAATACTACTACGAATTCTGCTACTAATAACAATATAAACCGCACTAAGGATTGATGAGCTGCCAGGTTGATGAATATTAATCACGTCGGCATTCGATCAAACTAATTTGCTGTAATCAAAGTGATGAGATTGCCGTTTGCGCATTAGTTTCTTGCTCATAAAGGCTGAATAGTTTTAATGAACTGCATTATTAGCAGTATATTCACAGGACAATACAAATAATATCGTTTACACGTAGCACGTCAACTCTGCATGGAGAGCGACGGCGAGTCGGGCGTCTCAAACTAGTGTTTACTGTGCGTCAGATACACTGTGAATTCATTGGGATGAACTGAAATAGTGCGTTTTGTGGATGGCTTGACGGAGAGCGAAACTCTCCAGCACTCAGTCAGTGTTCGGCGAGTGAAATATCTGTGTACCAGTTCCAGATTATAGAGGTAGTTAGTTCCTCGTTTAGCGATGAACTTCGCCTCAGTTTCACGTCCTCTGCGCCATAGTTGTTTTCGCTCTGCACGTGAGCTGCGAACGGGTCCCAAACACATACGTCATCAACCAGGCTTTATCGTTATTACCGCGGGTCGGGAAGACTAATTCTTATCGTGGGGAGATTTTTATCGGTGTATCGCAAACGATAATATATCACCCATCCCTAATCTGTGCTGATAAAAAAAGATGTTTAATCTGTAGTGACCTTTACTCCATTTAAAGTCACTTCTTGGGTTCACTGCGGGGAAGTTTCAGACACCTCTTTGTTGATTCCTTGATATCTCCATAAAGTCCAGGAAAATGAAGTTAATCACAGCTCGTTTATTAATCTTGAAAAAAAAAAAACTGATGTAACATAACGTTGTAATTAAAGTACAAAGCAATTCAAACTGTAAATTAAAAGAGCATCAAAAATGTTGAAGGAGAGAAAGATGGTCTGAAGTCTGTGTGCTCCCAGCAAACCTCGCCATCTCATTAGACACCCGTGGCTTTACACACAGACTCCAGAAAACAGACAAGAAGGGAAAATATAAGACAATATGGAATAACCTATAAATGGCTCCTACATAATCAATATTCTTTGCTTTCAGAAAAACACACAAAAGGGAGGAAAGGCCGTTCTCGTTTCCAGACAGCAAGGAAAGCCTTAAAGCGTGACTTCCGAACCTTTATGAGTAAAGTGTTTCCTTGTGTGCCTGCCCCAAAAACTCCAGCCACAGATCCAGCTGAGCCAACAGACCGTGAGTCTCCAGTTATCATGCAGTGCTGTAGTCTAGAATAAACCGTGATTTCTACACCCCTAGCTCTAGAGACAATTCAATATAGCAACAACCCCCTGCTGCCACGGTTACATTAATGAAATATATATGCTACTTTTACTAAAGAGGTAAATATACCCTGCGTATCACGTACCACTGGAGTCATGTCCATTTCAATCTGTTGTTCTGGTTTTATTTGTAATCTCCACTCATACCGGCTCCTCACCGGATTGCACAGATGCGTTCAGTCTCATGCTGTATGTTAACACGTTGTTGCTGTGTGTTTTTCAGTGAACTTAATGTTTCCTAATGAACCGACACTGCAACATGAATACTTTCAGTCTCTTTATGAAGTGGGAAAGAAACTGAGTTATGGTGATAGCTTCTATAAAGGAATCAGAAGATCGGATGGCCAGAGAGTATGTTGCTCTTTCTCCATAACCAAACATTTTGTCTCTTGTTTCCTTCTATGAACTTTGAGTCTTGCCATAAACATCAGAGTTTACAGTTTTGATCAAAAAGTGTAAAGACTGTAGATGATAGTGTACAAGTTTAACTTACCTTTGCAAACATTTTCTTTATTTTTTAGGTTGTCATCAAATTTGTTGAGAGGCGCAGATTTTGTGGAACATTTGAAACGGTAAGTGACTTTATTCTTCATGAAAATCTCTAGTAAGAATTGGCTTGTCAAATTTGGTATGTAGATAGTATGAGATATAACTGAATTACACAACCAAAGCCTAGAAGCATCGGTTATAAAGTTCATGTAAAGTTTTTTTTTCACATTAGCTGGGTTTCCATCCATAAGTGAAGCAAATCTTTAAAAAAAAAAGAAAAAGAAAAGTGAATTAGGTGCGTTCCCATCAGGTGGTTTGAGCGGACGGCGTGGTATTGGTAACCTAGTAACCAACAGTAAATGAAACACCGTCAGCGGAAACAATATGTGTGTCGTTCGACTCAATAAGCGACTGCTTTAAGAGAACGCTGAGAGTCGGTTCCCATCTGAGAGCCGGTTTCCCTTGTTGTATTTTTGTATGTTAATACAAGGATAATATGATTATCCTTTCGCTACACTGCTCAGCCACACAACAAGTAGTCTCTAGCTTAATGTTATTTTGATGTGTTTTCATCCTTTATTTTAGGTCACAAAACAATATCAGTAATACAAGCAAATGAAGTAGCATTTGAATGCATTTTAATAACAGACAACATAAAGGCAGAATGTAGAGTTTGTAAGGTGAAACTGTCATATCGAGCAGGGACGACCTTTAACAACCTTATAAATGTGTTCGGTTTTAAGTGTGATGTGCTTAGAATGGTTTTATTTTGAATAGT